GGAAACTGGAAATCATTGAAATGTATCTTGTGTCAAAATCTCCTGTTTCCCTGATACACAGGGATTTTTAACAAGACAGAAACTAAAATAAAAACAATAATCTTCGGGGTGATTCATGCAAGTTATAACAATCATTAATCAGACCGCTAATCACACCGCTTCACTACATGAAACATATTAAGCTCATCATTTGAATTTGACTTATTACTTGAAAAGCTTCATATGTTCTAATTTTGAGAAAACACATAACTTTCGTAATACTAATAAAGCTCCTCTTTTCAGCCTCTGTCTTTGGTCCTGTCTGATACCCCCTCCCATTAAAACCCAGTCTGCTCCCATTGGCCAGTGTCTCTGCACTGTGTCTAGACGTGCATATGCATGACATCATGTTATATGACATCAGAATTACCATGACAGGGGCTCCCCTGTACTGTGGACTTGGGGCTTTTTGACTTCGAAGAACTTTTACATATGAAAAACCTGCATAACACATGAAAGAAAAACAAAAAATGTGTCTCCATTAAAACCATTATGAAGTTTCATGATGGGGTCTGGAAACAAAATGACTACAGATGGATGGAGATACCGATTGTTATATCGAGCCCGATATATGCCAGGGGATGAAAATTGTGACTGAACATACAGTAAATGAGCCAGAAAGGGAGCATAAAGACATAACAAGGGACAGTGCACTTGTAATTACAGTTTAAATACACCTTACACCCCCACACTTTGGAGCCCCATGTATGTGAAAAACCAAACCAGCAGCTCCTGACATCAGCTCCTCTCTGACACAGGGAGAGCAACTGAACATGCCTCATACAGATTTGTCCCAAAATTCCATCACACTGCTGCAGGTGTTCCTATGTTTCTGCAGGGCCATATGAACTTCATCAGGTTTCTATGAATCAGCAGATGGCGATGTTGCATCAAACTTACGGTCAGTGCAGTGACAATGAATCAGAGGCTGCTCAAAGGACTTGGTTTCGAGGTTTTGTCATTTTCATTATTTTTTTCTGTCATCTCTCCGTCACGACGAGCCTGCAGCTGAGAGAAATCTGTTCTCACTCTCATCATCAGTGAACGCTTCACTGAACTGTCAGAGGGACTCACTCTGTTCACTGAGGCCTTCATATTGTTTTTACATGGCAGGGTTTAGTCAATACGAGCCACAGATATACACATATATATGACCTTTAATTGCATTATGGCTGGAGAGCAGCGGAATGTCTCAGAGAGTGAATCCTCTATAAGCTGCGGCTTCTTGTAAATCAATTTTCTCAGTTTACCGTGTTGAACTTTGAGTCAGTGTCAGAGTGGATTAACTAACTGAGCTGCTGAGGTCTGTGCTTCTCCTGCAGTCCACATAAAAATCAGCGAAATGAACTGGGAGGACTGGAGAGCCGCAAACACTCCCATGGAAGCTTTTTATTATCTGGAATTATCCTTTAAACTGGAAACATTTCCACATACATCCATTGTAAGAGGAGAGAGAGGCTCTGCCCTTCCAGTGAGTTCAGTGACTGAAAAAAAAGAAATTGACCTGGTTTTACTTCCCCTCTGTGCCGTGATCTGAGAACAGAATATGAATCAATGGAAAGAACAATGACAGATCGCCAGGTTATTTAGACAAAGAAAAGAACATTTCTAGATTTGATCATAGCTCCTCAACTCAAATGAAATGTTACTGTTGCTCAAGCCATTTTCAGACATGAAGTCCAGACAATGAGCTGCAGACTCTTCCATCCTGAGATATTTGGAAAGTGTGTATGTATGTATCATTTTTTAGGTGCTGCACAACAAATTTGTCCAAGGACAACAAAGCTTTCTAATTCTAATTTGAATTCATTTTTCTTTTTAGTTTTGCCTTTGTTACATGTTGGAAACGTCATCAACAACATGCCTACTCAATCGAAGTGAATTCTCCAGAGAATCCTCTGCTGTTTTCTCACACCGGCATGGGGCATGTCCAGAGCGTTCCAATATGTATATATGTAAGTGAGTATAAACACAAGAACTGACATTATCTATGGGTAGCACACATCCAAATGAGTTGAACATTTCTAAACTCAAACAACTAAACACAAATATTGGCAAAACATGTTCCAAAAAGGAGGGGGAAAAAAGAAAAGTCAAGAATGACAGGAAATGAAGCAGCCTCAAATGTTAGTCAGCCACTCCACCACTCAGCCGCACACACACATAAATCCCTTTTCATTTAAAAACATCCAACCCTGACTACTCAATCCAGTCAAAAGACAGGAGGATTTTGGTCACACAAGATTTAAATATTTGGACCATTGAAGGGAAAAATCTGATTAATATCCTCTTTATTCTCATTTAAACTAGAATTACTGAATTATGGTTGTATGCTTCTGCATCCAAAGAAAAGTTTTGGTCATATTTGAAAAAATTCCCTCTTTTGTAAGATCATTTCTTCACCTTTTGATATTGTGTATGACCCAAGCTATGTTTCACAGATGGTCGAAATGAGAGTTCTTAAGGCCTTTACAAAAATCATTTACATTAGATGTTTTATGTTTAGTGTCCAAAGATGCCATCCTGTCTGTGGTGTTGTGATAAGGTGAACCTCTCCACTCATGAGGATAATGGGCAATTTGACTTGACTTATAGTGACCTACATTGCTATCTGTTCCCCCCATCTAGTATAATACTGAAATGCTTCTCTTGGACTTTAAGGATTTTGGTTTGGTTAGAAACCTTTCTGTTAACAGATCCATGTTGTCAAAAACTCAAGGACGACTGAGGCTCATCAAGTGAATTCTTTAAATCATCCCTTTAAACACTGATTAAAGAGAATAGAGTTGTAGAGGAACAGACTTGGGAGCGATGGTCTGTTAGGGTGAGCCTTCAGCCTAGTGCGTAGCCTGGCTTCCGTTTCTTCTCCCTCTGCCTAAACAGAGGCTTTCCCAGCCTGACGGAAATCGTTGACAGACTGAGAATAGTTTATGAAAAAAGCCAATTTTCTCCCTGATTGTCTCATTTGCTGTTGTAGGTCATAACAAGGCAGCAATATTAAAAAAGGACTGTTTCATAGCCTGTCAAGAACTCCTTGTAGGGGCTTTAATTTCTTCAAGTGCTTTCATTTTAGTTTTCTCCATCTTCAGCTGGCCTTTCCAAATACATGGGGAAATATTCTAATTGAATATGAATCATTAAATCTGCAAATCTCACTGCAGCAGGAATGCACTGTGATTACTTGCCAGTCTGGCTGTGTTTTCACAGAGCTACACAAGAGTTTAGCTGAATTCATGTTTTGAGTTTGGGTACACAGGTGTAGGGAGAACAGAGAGAGTGACTAATGCTTAAAGATGGTGAAAAAACACCAGAGGACAGAC